AAATAAAATCTTATTAAATATTACATACCAAATATATATTTGAAGAAAATTTTCATTGAATAATATGAAGTAATGAGTCTACAGTCTACAGCGTCAATTCTATGTATATTATAATTTACTGTAAATTCAATACATTTCCATCTTTGCTCTGCATTTTGATGCTCCTTATTAACTGCTGCGTGCGCCACACAAACTTCTGGCGGCGCCTTTTCGGGCCCCCGCCACTGCACGTGGGACTCTGTGTGCATTACCTAATAAGGCAATCGCCAAGTTAATAATTCATAGCGCAGCGACGCACCAGCTACAACACCACTTTCCATTTGATAGTGTCAACACACATTGCTCCACCATAACTCATGCACTCGCTACATCGATCCCTCCAAACGCTGGCGATGCACATCTCGCGGTTTGCCACGTTTGTTTGCTTTTCGCTATTTTTGTACCGATCGACACTAACATTACTTTTTTTTACTCGAATATACATGATACATGATAAGATTTGGCACGGAGCAATACATAAATTAATGCAAATCAATGACCACAAAAAGGATGCCATTTAAAAATTAATTAAAAGCGCAGCAAGATTATGTAATGAAAATCGCGTTTCAAGTCTTATAATTTTTAATTGTTAAATAATATATACATAAATTTACAGATTCTTTTAGTTAATTTACATCATATTAAAATATTTTTTTAGAATAATAAATATTAAAATTTTGAAAATTGGAGACGATCACAATGATAATATTCAATTTAATAAAATAAATAAATAATTTTTACAAGCAAAATTGTGCCAAATTTAAAAATATTAGCAAGATTCGTCGTAATCAATTGAATTACTATCACTGCAAGCAGCGCTGAAAATATTATGGTTGCAGCGCTTCCCCTCTTAGCGCACTCAACCCACGTGACCGATCAGGCCAATCAGAGCGACTCTGTGGGTATAAAAGCCGGCCGCTGCCAGCGAGAGGTATCAGTCTGGCTACAGCCACTGGAGAGTAATGCGGCCATAGTGGCTGTGGACTTGAATAAGCCACTAAGGTGTATTGCTCCCCAGTTTGGAGATTCAGCACAACAACGAATGACGGATGTCTTTCGTGCTCAGTCTTTTTCAATTCAATGCTTAATAATTATTGCATTGACTTGTAGAAGATTGTGTATGAAAGTTGTTATTAACAACGATGAAATTTTTGAATTTAAAAATTCAAATTAATTAATTTTTTAATTTTAGCGCAATTTAAAACTAGTATTAAAGAATATTAAATTATAAAATAATTTTAAATTCCTAATAATGAATTCTAGATATTTAGAAAAATTCTATTAATAATCGGGCCAAACTAATAAATCCAAGTCAAAGAAGATCCGCTGGCCAGTGGCGCTTCTTGCGAGACCATTGTTTGTGCCGAGGGATGACAAATTACAGCAATCACGACACGGTGATTACAATTTCAAGCATATCCGAGCAATGGGCAGCTCTCCAAGCCTCTCATCGGCACCCGCCGCCGCCGGCCGTGGCGTGTTCGGGCCAAAAATCACGCGGATATGCAGCCGCTAATTTGCACCACGCCCAACTAACAACAGTAATAAACCTGGACAAAGTGACAGGCAGAACCTGTTCTTCCCCTTGGCGTGGTGGGGGACCGAATTCGGAACTCGCTTCCATTTGGTCTTTTGCGGCCGGGAAACAAGTAGGTCAGCCAAAATGATGGTCTGGCGGCGTAAAAATAACAATGGGAGCTGAGTGTGATTTATGCCGGCTGGGCAAATAGAAAAAAACTGCAAAGCATTCGAGAGTTCTCCAGAATCTGTAGAGTAATTTTCAAGTAATTTTTTTTTATTTATTGAACAAAAATACATACCGCCGTAAGCTATTTTTACCAATTGAGGATTTCTGATTCATGTTATCATGTAAAACTTGAAGATAATTTATAGGAAAATAAAGAACAAAAAATTGGTTGTTTTGATGCTAGATTTTAAATTCTAAGTAAATATTTGTGTGTCAAATATTTTCTCGAATACTTCCATTGCTGATAATTTCTTATTTTTATTGAACTTCTCCACACATTTGTGGTGTAATTTTTTTTATCAACCACAACTTATAGGCGCTGGGTATGCAACATGTTTAACATGCACACGAAGCAAGTTGCCCACTTCTCTTCACGTTCCTGGGATTTATTATTTTTGTGTTTTTCTTTTTTCACTCCTGCTTCATTCTCATAAGCACACCGTTTTTCATATTCATGCCCGTCTCTAACTAACAAGTCACGAAGAGTTACGATTTCACAATGCAGAAAACGCAAATAAAAAAGAGAAAGGTTGCTTCGTCATGATCCTCGGTGGAGAAAAGCGGCGCCTCCTCGTACATACACGCGGCCTAAAGGAGATTTCACCTTTTCGCATCGCTTTTAATATTTCATTTGACAGCTGCCGAGCTGCCAAGAGTAAAATAAAGACGAGCGCCTCTTTTCTCCTCCACGCGGGGCCAAATTACATTATACGACTGCCGGATAAAAGAAAAAAATTCGCAGCCATATATAAAAAGCAACGAGGCCTCTCGGCTGGAAATGAGTTTTTGTAATAAAGCGCCGCTTTTGCACACACACACACACGCTGCCGCTCTCGTACGCAGATCGCGCGGTTTGGAAATGTGTCAAATTAGAACTGGGGTTAACTTTGCAGAAGTTAATTCCCACATCAAAGCGCTCCCATTCTGCTTTTGTTAGGCAGCGCGTGTATCATTAAAAGTTTTCTAATTGAAGGATTATCTGGTTTTGCGCGCGGAAACCAACCAGAGGGCATGCAAAAATGGGACGCAAAGTTTTAACTTATTTTCTGCGTTTGAATTAGAATGTGGAGCACAACCGCAACGCGGCTGAGTTGGCTCTGTTATATAAAATGCTTGAAATATAAAACAAAAGTTATTTTATATTTATGAAAATATATGAGTGCTGATAGTCGCTATTTAAGTCTAGGCTAAAACCGTTTATATTTGTGGGAAAATACTTATTTTATTTTAGGTATAAACGCCCAGGTCATCATTTTTCAAATTAGATTAAGAGATATTCATACAATAAATTAATTATTTCTTTTTTCATTAGAAAAATGACGTTTTCAAAATTTCTAGCTTTATTTAAATCCATAGGAATTGTATACAACATAATGTTACACTCTCAAACAACGCACAGAAGCAGCATAATTGATTTAGATGAATATGTAACATGTGGTGGCAATAGCATAAAAATTTATAAGTTGTTATTAATGCAGACAATAATTTATAAAATAATTATTAAAAAGCAAAAAGGTTTTAATAAAAAAAAATAATATAAATTTAAAAAAATTAAACAGTGCAAAAGTTTTATACGCTTAATCATTATGTGTATTAATTTTTCAGTAAAAGAATGTTAAACATTATTTGATTGTATTAATTTAAAATTTATTTTACAAATGATCTTAATAATTTCCAGAGTTGCTATTTAGTTTTCAAAAATACAATCATGTCCATGTCAAAAATTTCCACTCGTGAGAAGTCAGCCAGCGTTATTCAATTTGATAAAAATGTGCCGCTGCTGGCTGAGAGTGGCTTTATTTCATTTTGCAACAATGGTCGGGCCGGGATCGAGAGCACGTGTACGAACATGGTATCTTTTTCCGCTAGGGCTCCTCTTTTGTTACCAACAAGGGGATAAACTAGCTGGCGCCGAGCTACGTGGCGAAAAAAATTGTAGCACAATGCAGCTGCAATGCAATTAAAAATTAATTTTTCGAGCGGCGTGCAGTGCGAGCGAGCGAGCGAGGAGAAAATTGACCCAGATTCGAAAGGGCGCATTAGGGAGATGAGTTTCAATACGAGTTGATGTAAAATAAGAGAGGGTGAATCTTTTTGTTCTCGAGAAGAAGTGCGAGATGGCAGCTGCGAATTTTCAATTGTCACACTGCGGAGACGAGCAAAAATCGCGATACTCTTCAAGATTGGCACCGCCCCGTGCGCTGTCAAATCCTTGAATTGACGCCCGTTTTTTTTGCCCGTTTTCACGCCAGGGTCTTGCTTGGGAAAAAAGATTAGACTATACGAGCTGCTCGGATTGGCGTGAAACGCGGCGTCTTGTTGAACGCGCCGGTTGCTTTTATTTTGCAGTCGCTTTCCTCGAAATAATCAGAATGAGCAGAGTGTTTTCGCGCGTTTCAAGCATTACGACTCGGTCCTAAGGCAGAGGATAAAAAAAAATATCCCTATACGCTGGAGAGAAAATCAATTTTTGGCTCCTCGTCAATTTAAAATCGGCATTTGTGTTAAAAAATTCGGTGACATAAAAATCGTTCATAAATTATTAAGGTTTTTTTTAAAAATAATTGACAATTGATTGTATTTTTATCATTTCAATTTTTTAATGGTTAGTATATTTTTGCTGCTGTTAGTGGCCAGAACTGGACAGAATGTTTGATTCTCAGAATTTTTTTTGTTAAAACAAAGTTCTCAAAGCAGAAAAACCGGTTTTTATCATTTTACAGCATTGTTACAATTCAGTGCTTTATATTCAATTTTTAGGATATTTAATTTTATCATAATTTTTTTTCAATATTGCACGAAAAAACGATAAAATATATAGACTCATAATGCTTCATTTATAATCCATCTTGGTTTTTTGTTTTTAATTTCATAACGACAATAAATGCTTTTTTTATGTGTTTTAAAAAAAAAACTTCTTCCTTCCTCTATATTATGATCGTCCAACAGTGCAAAATGTAACGGACGCAACGGACCAAACAAAAAATGTCAGTTAAAAATCGATTCGGGCAGCAGGCAATTCCCTTCCAGCTAATTGACCAAATTTGCTCTCTGTTTCCAGACGAGGGGAGCGCGAATTAACTTTCGGGGCGATAATTCGATTGGGGGGTCTCTTGTTTGTTTGCACTGCGTTTCCGTTATTTCGTCGCAGCACTTCCCTTAAGCACCAGCGAAACTTGTCTTTCGAGAAAAAGAAAATGAGTGAGAGACTTACCAAAATGCGTTGCCGCAGGGCCCGGCGAGAGGTGATGATGATGGGTCTCGACCCACCGAGAAGAAAACCTTCCCACTTCACTTGTTACTTCCTCACGCATGCTTGCCTGAGGCGCCAGCAACCTGAAACATGCACAGCATACAATCTCATTAATTTTTATTCGTCAGTCGTTTTGTGGAAAAAGGAGAGGGTTTGTATTAATTGATAATACTGCAATTAGAGACAAAGTTTCCATACAAAATTGGCTCTCCAGGCGAAAATTAATTCAGCCACACGTGAATAACGGTTGCAATTTCAGTCTCTTTGTTTCCACCCTTAGTGATTTCGTTCGCCTTTGATTTTGTTCAATTATAGATTTGGAAAAACAGCGCATCTCGTTGGACAAGGTTCAGTGATTTTGTTTCCAAAGCGTTTAATTTTCATCTGAATTAATATTTTCCTTCAATTAATTGACTCGCTAATTAAATCCGTTTTTTAAAATTTCCCAGTAAAAATCTTAATTTCCACCCCAACAAAAGATTATTGTTTCTCAATAAATTTGCAGCAATTGGATGCAAGCAACGATTATAATTTTCATTAAGACTTTTTGGCCTATTAAAAAACTCTACGAAACTAAACATTTTTTTATTATTTTATCCGAAATAAAATTATTGTCATTCTCTTTTAAAAAATCTAGTGGTAAGGTAAGTTAAAAAAGTATCTATAAAGTCATCAATAGGAGATGAAAGCAACGTTTTAAAACTCAGATAAACGTCAAAAAGAATACAAAAAAATAATCAACAATTAATTATTACAATTGATAAAATATTAACCGCAAATTTAATGAAAATTGGAAAGCTCAATCAATTAAAGATTCAAGTTCAATTCTTTCAATCATTCCAAGTGCACACAACAATAATTAAATTTTTAACTGTAAAAAAATTTAATTTTTCTAGTGAAAATTTGGGGTTCAAGTTTGGCATTGCAACTCCTCGTCTGGCTTGTTTGCTTTTGGGGACGAAATGCCTCCTCATGAATCTCACCCTCTGAAGCTAACGAGGCGAATCGTGGCCGCTTTTGCACTTCCCCGGCAGCAACCTTGCCGAGTTTCTGGCTCGTGGTACCTACACTCGACGTTACTTTCGTATGTGTGTAATGACGTCATCGGGAATATTAAGCCTGCAGCGCGGAGAGGCTGGGCTGGCGCTGCCTGGATATGCCGCATTGTGCGAGTTCTCGGCGCGCAAGTTAAAATGTAAATTTCCCAACCTAGAGCCCGACCATCGCCTTTTTAATATTAAGTAGCCGCACACACACACGTCTATATTGTACGTACCCTTTGCAAAACAACGCGTCGCTTTTTCTCTCTCTCACTCTCTCCGGGAAATGTCAGAGGCGCAGAGAGAATAAGACGAGAGCATTGTCAGCCAGTTGGCGGTCTTTTTATTTTCAAATTACCTTTGCCGACGGCTCCCTTTGAGATTTTGAAAGGGTGCGAGAGGTGCTCTCTCTGAATTTTTACTGCCGGGGCGCAGCTCAAAGAGAGCGACACGCCGTTCCTTTCTCTCTCTCTCTCACTCTCGCTTGCTTTATACGAATGTGTTCTAATCTGTTATTGGAATAATAAATTCTCTCTTCCTCGTTTGCTTATCTCAAAGTGCGGAGGAAGAACCGTCGCGCATATCGGCTGCATTATTTCGCAAAACTCGCTCAGTTGAAGACGGCAACTGATAAGAAATTCATCCGCGTGAGATGCACATAATATGAAACAAAATTAGCTCCTGGCAGATTATCAGAGAATTGCTGATGGCTAATAAAGTCATTTATATTTCCATCAACACGAAATTAAATTAAAAATTGAAAACAGTTGCATTGTCTCAAAATTGAGTTAATAATAGTTTGTCGAGTTATTTTTTTATCCAATGGTTACATTTTTTTTTAAATTAAATTACTGAAAATCAATTTGTTTGAAAGAAAAAACAATCTTTCAGAACAAAGAGCAATAAAAATGACCGAAGTGGGAATTATTTTGAAAAACAGAAATTTTAATCTGTTTTGAAAAGAATTAAAATTTCCAATCAAAAGTTTTGAAATTTCGATATTTTAATCCGTTTTCCAAGCATTTGTTTTCTCGCCCAGTTTATGAATCAACGTTTAAATTTATTTTGAAAAAAAGTAATAAAAAGGATTAAATGGCTTCTTTTTTTTCAAATTTGCAGCCGAAAATTTTGGATAAATATGCATTTTTGACTCATATATTTGATGAAAACTGGCATATTTTTTTTTTAAATATGAATTTAAATTCAAAATTTGTCAAAATTCATTAAATATTTTGCCAATATTTTATTTCATTCTTTTTAAAAGCAAAAATTGAGAAATATTTTAGTTTCATGCTCTGTAAGTAAAGACTATTTTAGGTCAAACAAATTCCTTACTACAAAAAATTATTATCAAAACCTTTAAAACAATTAGATTGAAAAAATATTGGACTCTAAGAAATGAACCTAATAGTAGTTTGAAAATAACTTAAATTGAAAAAAACCATTAAAAAAAATATGGATATCAATTCCCGTCTGCTTCTTTCCTTATTTAAAAAAAATATTTAAATTTATAAATTTGGAACTTGAACTTGGAGGTGGATATTTTAAATAGATTAAATCCCTGTGGTGGGGACTTGAAAATTAAAGCCTGGGACTCATCTCAGTGGCCACCAATCCAAACAAACTCGTTCTCAGCACGTATCCAATCTGCGTAATATTTCTCATCCGCCTAGCTGCGCTTTCGGGCCCACAAACAGCGGCTCAGAAGAGCAAGTTTAGGGTGCACAAATGCGGTGCTGACCGCTGCGAGTCATGCGTGAGGGGATGAGGAGACGCCAAAACAAACCAACCCCGAACGAAATCTGGACGGACTACCAAGGAAGGGTCTCTGTGCGCGCCGAGTGCGAGTGACGAGTTTTGAGATTTGTGCAAAAGTGAAATTTTGCTTTGCTCCGGTGTTTTGTTTAATTATAATTTACCGGCACGCACGCGCGCTCCCGCCACTTGAATCTTGATGGAAATGTTAAATTCGCCGTGAGACGTGGAAATGCCTTTGGCAGGATCAGCCGAGCGGGAAATGCAGTCGTTTGCAAATGAAATTAAATTTTATAACATCATGCAAATGCTGCTTATCCAGCTCTCTTCAAAACGGTAAAAGAAGTTTCAAATTGTAAAAATTCCAGGCGTTTCATATGATATTTTTATGTATGTTTTCAATTAACTCAATATTTGATTATTTAAAAATGAGATTTGCAAGATAATTTAAGGGTATAATATAAAATTTAAATTACTCGTTAATTAGCACATTCAGAGTTCGCATAATTATTTCAAATTTTCAGCGATGATAGATTTAAATCCTTGAACTTTTTAGCGTTGGGTGTTTGACTAGAAATCTCCATTACGAGTTGAATTATTGACGTTTCCGCAAGAATTTTGTTATTTGAGAGTTAAAAATTAAGGGGGAAAAATAAATTGAGAAAATGAAATTTTTTTAAATCTCTATAATTTCTCTTATAAGCTTTGTGTTGTCGGATTTTTTTTTTAATTTTTGTACGATGAGATCAAAGTTAAAATTTGACTTAATTGAACAAGGAAAAAAATTTAATTTTTTCGGGGTAGCCAATCTGTCGGCTTATTTTGGATTTAAACTTTCCTCCCCACAACTGACCTTTTAACCCCTGAGCATTAGTGCTATGAACTTCTACGCGATGATTAGCGTGGGGTCCGCGCGGACCCCAAGTTCCCTTTTTTGGCTCTCGGCCCTCCAGTTGTGCACGCAATGGCCTGAAACTTTCAAGAATCAACCCATATTCATTTAGCATTAGGGTGGGCTGCATAATTTTCAACCACCACCCTTTCAACCCCTTTTACACCCCCTTGAAAATATTAAAACCTGCATTTTTAGTATTTATGCTACAGTATGAGCGCAAAGCTCCATGAATTAAGGGTGCTTGGCCAACTTAATGCATAAAGGGATGACACATATGCAACCCCTTAACTTTTCAACCATTCAACCCCTAAAACAACCCCTAAAGCAACAAAATTCTTCCACTCTGTACTACGTCAATGTGTTTTTCCTGAAAAAGAATAAAATACCCTTCTGTGATTGAGATTTTTGCAAGGTTTTCTGCCACACCCTCAAATCACCCCAAAACTACCCTTTGAATAAATTGCAGTATGTTTTGTTTGTTTTCCTTGCCTTGAATTTTATAAAAGTTGTCAGTGAATGCGAATTAATTATAATTTTTGCAGCATATTACATTTGAGGCAAGGAAAATATACATAAACCATTCTGCCATTTATTCAAGGGGTAGTTTTGGGGTGATATGGGGGTGTGACAGAAAAAAATGCAAAAATCTAAATCAAAGAAGGGAATTTTTATACTTTATTTGTAAAACACATTGACGCAATACAGAATGGTAGAAATTTATAATTTTCGGGGTAGTTTTGGGGTTAATTAGGGGTGTGACATCATATTTTGTCAAACGTAAGCCCCCACCATGTGATCAAGGTTTATTTCATTGTAACAAATGTGCCTCACTGATTGGAAGCAATTTATAGCAACTAAGGGTAGTTTTAGAGGGTTGAAAGGTTACACCCCTTTACTCTTTTACTTGGCCAAAGCCCCTAAATTTTCTGTACACCCCTAAAAATATGGTTCTGCGCTCAAGCTGCAGCATAAAAAGAAAAAAATTAGTTTTTATTGATTTGAGGGGGTGAAAAAGGGGTTTCAAGGGTGGGGGTTGAAATTTCTGAAGCCCAACCAAATGCTAAATGGTTCAGGGTTGATTCCTGAAAGTTTCAAGTCATTACGTACACAACTGCAGTGTTGAAAGCAAAAAAAGTAACTTGGGGTCCATGCGGACCCCACGCTAATCCTCGCGTAGAAGTCCCGCTTTTTTTGAAAAAACTTAAAAATAAAAAAAACTAAAAAAAAATTTTGCTTTTTACGATTGGCTTTTAGTAAAGTATCACGAAAGAGTCAATTAGAATTTTTTTCAGATTTTTTAAAGCAGTTTTTAAGGGAGTTAATTAAAAAATAATGCTTATGGGGTCCGCGCGGACCCCACGCTAGTTCTCAAGGGTTAAAATGCAATAATAAT